ATAAAAGATATATCGATAAAAAGGAGCATAATTGGCTTTTTTATTTATTAGGAGAAATGCGTAAAAGTTATCCTAGATCAAGAATAAAGAACCTTGATTTGACTAAAGAATATGAAGAAAGATAGTTATGCCTTTTTATTAGAGAATGTCAACCAGGATGATAGTGTAGCATGATTGATTTTGCAAGGCTGTCATTCTTTTATTGTGCATGGATAAGTGGGCAACATGAGTGGTCACAATCATGTCCACAATCAGTGCATGCTATTGACGCGTGGAGACTGGTCACGGCAAGGGGCAGATGTATCCGACCAACACAGGCGCCATACTGTGGTTCGTTCGCGTCTAATGACATTGTATTCAACTTTTTTGATGCTTTTGAATTGCTCAACTGCATGGGCACCTTGCAAAGATACATTCATCATGTGCGCAAAAATAGAAGTTAGATTGGAAAGTTTTTCTCGATTCAAACTCTACATCTTCAATCTAGCACTGTGGTGTTTGAATTTACTATAATATAACTAAATAATTAACTCTTTACTAGTACTTTATTTGTCACGATTGAGGTACTAATTGTATTAATAAAACTAACAAAAAAGATACATAATCATTTTTTTCTTTTAGTTTCGCTACAATTGTATTTTGACCTTCTTTCATTTAAGCATTAGAAGAACTTTGGGAACATTTCTGGACTAATCGTGCTATATGTACATGTTCAGTGACAAATTTATTTTTTATTTCTTTCTTTTTTAAAACGAGATATGGCAAGATTTGATTTGAAGTTACAAAATAAATAAATCGATCATACAAATATTGTCAGTGTAGCACCTGTAAAAGATCTGTAAACAATTACTATAATTGTTCTTTCTGGACTCCCTTGTCAAAGTATTCCATAATTGGGTGAATAATCGCAGAAACTACTGTACTTTTTTTCCCAAGATTCATTGGACCTTAAAAAAAAAAAAATTAATAGTCACTGTACTTTTAAAGATATTACACATCAATCACCTTCGTAGAATGTTATTTTTCATTTGTCATTTCATGCTGTTTAAAAAATTAAAAAGTATATTTGCTACGTCATTGAGCCCTGATTGGTTTGGATTAAAATTTTAAGTCAGGGTCAATAATTAATTTTAACTACATATTTTATGAGATTCATAACATTTCAACAACATATTTTATCAAATTTTATCAAAATCTACTGAAAAATTGATTTTAGTCTCTATCAAACAGAGTTGAAATTGTTAATTTTCAAATGAAAAGAGCCCAAATCACTGAATAAAAGAGGGGGAGGGTTGATATTCCGTCAAGTCATGATTAGAAATAGAAGGTAAAGATCTTCCCGGATCACCATATTATATAGCTGTGCATACGTGGATGCACACATATACAGAGTCCTAGATACCCACGCACGCACTGTATAATTACGTAGAGATAACTTTAAGGCTAATTAGCACAAAACGTCCCTATCTTTGATGTTGATTTTGGAAACCATCCCTACCTTTCATTTCTTGGCATTTATATCCTTACCTATCACTTTTCGTGCGCTGAACGTCCTTTTCATCATATTTTGACCATTTTACCCTCCATTCAAATAAAACAAAAAGAAAAGAAAAGAAAAACTAAAAAATTAATTGCAGTCATGCTCCCAAATTTTTTAAAAAGTGCAAATTAGTCTAAAATCCTTATTAAAACATTAAAAATAAAAATCTCTCTCTTCTCTTCTCGCCTCATCCTCTCTACGGCCACCTTCCTCCTCCAAAAAATGACCACCAACCGCCACCAAAGCTGTCAGACATCACCAATGTCAAGCCCATAACACTAGCTTCCAGCACATCCAAACATCAAGAAATTCCATCTACAAAATTGCAAGAAATCGAGCCAAGAAAAAAACTGCCACAGAAAATGAAAAACGCAGGGAATCGTGATTTCGGCCAAACCCATGGCTGAAACCCACCACTGGCCAACTGCCCATCAATAGACGATCCTACCCATGCCACCAATTCACTACAAAAAACTCCCCAGCCTGTTAATTTTGCAGCAATTTCTTCACCAGTCGCGACTGTCGCGATTTTGCCTGAAATAATCGCGATTTTCGGCGCCAGTGTTCACACTCATGGAGGCGGACCACTACTAGCCTCTTCTCCACATCCAGACGAGCTTATACATGGTGGCAATTCGTCCCAATCATCTCCCAAACAGGCTGAATTTGATTCTAAAAACTGCCCTGTCGAGAAGCTCGCGATTCCGCCAGCGAAGATCTCAATTTCCGGCGCCGTTCGGAGCACCCATGGAGGCGGACCACCTGGGCTAGGTTCTCCTTCACCTGGAACACCTAGCCAAGTAATGTGTCTTCAACAATTACACCCAAATCCTGTCCAATTGATGGTTGCCATTAGCAATCTGTGCAAAAAATTGGGTTTTCAAAATTTTGATGATCCTACAATGCTCCAAATGATTAATTGGATGGGGGGAACTTCAATTGACGATGCAATTGCTATGGGTCGACAGCCAATTGCTCCAATTAGTGCTCAAATTGTCGAAATCAATTCTTCACAAATGCTTTAATAAGGATTTTGGACTAATTTGCACTTTTTAAAATTGTGGGAGCAAGACTGCAATTAATTCTTTAGTTTTTAGTTTTTTTTTTTTGTTTTATTTGAATGGAGGGTAATTTCTTTAGTTTTTCTTTTCTTTTTGTTTTATTTGAATGGAGGGTAAAATGGTCAAAATATGGTGAAAAAGACGTCTAGCGCACGAAAAAGTGCTAGGTAAGAGTATAAATGCCAAGAAATGAAAGGTATGGATGGTTTCCAAAATCAACCCCAAAGGTAGGGACGTTTTGTGCTAATTAGCCATAACTTTAAGGTCAAAGGTGTTCCTATTCCAAAAGTAAAACACTGTTAATCAATCCTATGTTTCTTCAATTTTTCACTTGCTTTCTTCCTATATATACCAACCTCGTTCCACGCCTCAAAAGCAAACTGCCTTTCTCACTGTCTAGTGTCTACCTCATTAATTCTTACCCAATTATGAAAACAGACGTGGAAAGCCTTTGGGTTTTCGCTCTAGCCTTCAAATTCAAATCCTTATTTTCCACAAACTTCGCATGTTTTACGTTACTCTTGGTCCTAACATGGCTTGCCATAAATTTTATATTTTGGGCACATCCTGGAGGCCCTGCTTGGGGCAAACACAAATGGAGAAAATTCATTTCAATCCCAATTAACAAGCCTATTCCGGGTCCAAAGGGTGCTCCAATTATTGGGAGTATGAAACTGATGATGGGTTTAGCTCACCACAAAATTGCAGCCATGGCTCAATCCTTCCAGGCCAAACGTCTAATGGCGTTTAGCCTTGGCGAAACACGAGTAATCGTCACGTGCAATCCCGATGTAGCGAAAGAAATTTTGAACAGTTCTTCGTTCGCTGATCGCCCGGTGAAGGAATCTGCCTATTGTCTTATGTTCAATAGGGCTATTGGGTTTGCTCCCTACGGCGTTTACTGGCGGACACTTAGAAGAATTGCTGCCACTCACCTCTTCTGTCCGAAACAGATTAAGGCTTCGGAAACTCAAAGGTTGGAAATTGCTAATCAGATGGTGGCAATATTTCGAGCACGAAAGAGTGATTTTCATGTTCGGGATTCATTGAAACTGGCATCTCTTAATAACATGATGTGCTCTGTATTTGGACTAAAATACAAGATGGATTCTTATAATACTAGTGAGATGGACGAGTTGAGAGAATTGGTTGATGAAGGATACGAGTTGTTGGGTACACTGAATTGGTCAGATCATCTTCCTTGGTTTGCAGAATTTGATGTGCAGAAAATTCGGTTCAGGTGCTTCAAGCTGGTTGCCAGAGTAAACCGATTTCTCCGCCGTATTATTGACGAGCGCAAGGCTGAAACCGCCATGCTCCACCGTGATTTCTTGGATGTCTTACTGTCTCTTCAAGAGCCCGATAGATTGTCAGATTCCGACATGCTTGCTGTTCTTTGGGTAAGCAAAACATTCATGTTTTCTATTACAATATCGACTGTCGAACAATATCTGATCCTCTTTATCAAACAAGTTGTACAACAGTTTATCATTATTTTATCCATTGTTGCAGGAAATGATATTTAGAGGAACCGATACTGTGGCAATTTTGATTGAGTGGATATTGGCAAGAATGGTGTTGCACCCGAATGTTCAAGAAAGGGTTCATGATGAATTGGACAAGGTTGTCGGAAGGTCGAGTGAGGTGACGGAGTCGAGTATTACGCAAATGGTGTATCTAGCAGCAGTTGTGAAGGAAGTATTGCGATTGCACCCTCCGGGCCCACTTCTCTCGTGGGCTCGCTTGGCTATTAAGGATTCCATTGTGGATGGGTATCACGTGCCAGCTGGGACCACCGCTATGGTAAATATGTGGGCCATAACTAGGGATCCAGAGGTTTGGGAAGATCCACTAAAGTTCAACCCAGATAGATTTTCGACAAAGAATAATATTTCAATTATGGGTTCAGATTTGAGTCTCGCACCATTTGGGTCAGGCCGGAGGACTTGCCCTGGTAAGACCTTAGGCCTGACGACAGTCACATTTTGGGTTGCTTCACTTTTGCACGAGTTTGAGTTTGACCATTGTAGTCAAAACCATGTAGACCTCTCCGAAGTGCTAGGGCTCTCTTGTGAAATGGCTAGCCCACTTAAGGTTAAGGTCCGACCCAGGCGAGGTTAGAGTCTCACCCAGGCGTGCCCACTCGAGCCTGCAGTGTTAGCATCAGCATGTGACATATATACAGAAGAAAAGCAATTAATTTCTCAAACCTACCCTGTATATGTACATACATATATTTACCTGGTTTCTGTCTCTTGATCATTGCTTGCAAATTTTCCCTCCTCTTCTATACTTTTTTACGATTTACAGCCAGGATTCTTATTTTATTTATGTACAAAAAATTTGAAACTAATACAAGTGTTAGGTGTATATTACGCTTTCTTTATCGACTTCTCGTTACAACTCTTCTTTATAATAAATAAAATCCTTTTTTTGAGTTGGTTCGAGTCATTCTTACGTCTACTAACAGAAAGTACAAAATAATTTATTCTTAGCAACTGCTCTGATAAATACATGGTGTAAACTAACATTAATTCTTACATTCTATTGATGGAAGAATACAATGACCAGGAAGTTGAACTTGTGGACAGCATAAAGTTTTCTTATACATATATAGTGATTTATATCGTATTTGGGTTCATTGCAATCATGTTACTAAATTTAAATTTACGAGCAACCAAGTCATTTCGCTTGGGTTTTGTCTGAGACTACTAGAATTAGTTGACATGTTCATAAAAAAATGACTTACGAATGAGTCAACACATTTCCCTCAAAAACCTCACAAAAGATTGCAACTCCCGAAAAATAGAATTAAGTTATGTGTACATTTTGCTTCAAACCATGGATGAAATTCCCTCCTATATGGTACAATTTGAGCTGATGTGATTGTGCCATATGTAAAAGTGTAAACAAAGATGTAAGGAATGATGTAAGAAATTTACACCATGTTTGGGCTACATTATTCCCTCATGAATGCCTTTTAAATAGTGTTTTGATGAAAAATATGAGGTTAAAAAATAAGGAAAATTTTGAATTTACGTGTATTATTATTTTATTGAATAATGTGTGGTTAAAAATAAGAGAAAAGAAAATATATTTTAAAAGATGGTATCAAACACGGTGTCAAGGTGTTCGCTATTCTTATTCATAAACCTTTCACTGTTTGCTGCCCACTAAAATCGTGTACGGTAACCCAACATTTTGTGTGTTGTGCGTTAGGTGTTGATATTGGAAGTATTTTACCTATTTTCAAAAATGGTCAATGTTTGGTGACCTGATGTGCAATCAATCGTGATATTTAAAGAAACCTGGAAAATAGGTTATCGATTTAGGGATGACAAAAAATATCGTTAAATCGGATACCCGTAGGTCTCGCCTAATCGGGTGCACGAGGCGAGTGTGGGACGGATACGGGGAACATGGTCATGGCCTTGTTACCATTCCATTTAAAGTCCATTATAAAACATATTTTTTTTATGACACAAGAAGAAAGAGAATTTTAATCGTTTCTAAAGAAAACATGAGTTGTTCTATAAATTGAAAAAAATGAAATGATTTTCATCAATTAAAATAAAAAATAAAGATTATAAATTATAAAAACTAAAAAAAAAAAAACAAATATTCAAAAAAGTAACAAAAACTCAAAAAGAGGACAAAATTAACTTGTCACCCTTTTTGGGCTTTCGGGGTTTGGGATGTAATTAATACGAGAATTTTAGTTCTAATTAGATTTAAAGGTATTAATCTAAGTGAAAATACGTAACTACCTATATTTCAATATACAATTTCAACTTTGACAAACTTGAATTTTTTTCCTTCAAAAATCAGGTCATAAATATGTTTTTTATTATATTATATTTATAAATATATAATATATGCATAAATATATTTAAAAAGATTCTCCCTTAAATCATGGAATTAGTTACACATTCCCTCCAACAATTATTTGGTATAATTTAAATAGATAATTAAATATATTTTATTAATTAAATTGAAGTCACAATATCATACAATTTTATGGTCACGGTTACGTACTAGTCACAATCACAAAATGTCACAATCACAAATTTTATAGATCACGACTTATTTATCAGTCACATTTATCAAATTAATTGGTCATGGCTTATTTCTCGATAAAAAATCACAAATTTTATGAGACACAACTTATTTCATAATCACAAACTATCAAATTAATTAGTCACGATTTATTTTTTAACCATAAGTTACAAATTTTACAGGTCATAAATTGTCGAATAAAATGGTCACAAGTTGTTTTTTGATCACAATTTATCAAATTAATTTGTCATGACTTATTTCTCAATCACAAATTTTATATGTCATAACTTATTTCACAGTCACAATTATCAAATTAATTGGTCACGTATTTCTCGATCACAAATTATCAAATGTCACAATTTAATATCGATCATAAAGATATAAAATATTGGTCACAATTACAAATTTAATAAAAAAACACAATGCTTTATGTCATATACTATTTCTTGGTCACAATTTATTTGTTTTGTTGATTATAATTACCCAATAGTTGGTCACAACCGCTTTTCATCCCATCTATTCTACCAAGGCTATTCGCGAACCAGAGTTTTATTTTCTTTTTGGTATTTCACTTCTACAAGGAAATTTTTTTGGACTCTGATTTGGATCTTTTTGAAGATTTTTGACTCTTTTGAGAGGAGTGTCGATACTAGTTGTCAATTAGGGTTGGACAATTCTTTCTTGAAGAGCTGGAAAAATGAGGGTGAATTGGAATCGAAGAACTCCGGATAATGTATTGTTTTACTTTCTCTTAAAATGTTAGGCTAAATTAGATTTTGTACTAGGATTACGATGAAACTTGTATCATCATTCTTTAACTTTTGAATTTTATTTATTTTTGACATTCAAAACAAGTTTTCAACTTTGAATAATTGACATGAATTTATTCTTCTCTACAATTATATGTGTAATGATTGTATGAGTATCGTGACTTGTTTTACTTTCGAGAGATAGAATATAAGTTAAATATAATGTCAATTATCGTAAAGTCTGATAGATGATAGAAATATACCGCTATACTTTATGTAATCTTTAAGTATTTATAAATTCTTATTGTATTCTTGTATGTTTGCATCTGTCATAGAAATATAGTCGGGTCAAATGTAAAAATATGTTTAATCTACTTGAGAGAGATTGTTAAACAAATTAGGAATATTAATCTTCAAAATTGAATCGTGTTATTAAATTCAAAGGTTCGGGATTAAAGGAGATTGGTATAAAGGGATTCAAAATTCTAGTATGTTTTTTAACATTATATTTTCATCACTTTTGCATTAACCGCAATTTTGAATTGATTTTAGTTCAATTAGGTCTTGCATTAATAAGTACATTAATCAAGTACAATTTAGTTTTAGAAAAATAATTGACTTCCATAATTTCGATTAAGGCCGAGTTAAGTCGAATTTAAATCAATACAATCCTAGTAGGTATGAAACTTGGACTCAAATTCATTTTATTATTTGTTCACGATCCGTGCACTGGCGATATTACAAACAAAAATATTTCATAACTGTGATCACGAAAAAATTCATATACTATCCCATGCTTTTGTCACAATCTTCGTCACTAGTATTCTAGGAGTCAATTGCAAGCACAAGCCTCAAGTAATAAGTTGTTTTATCATAGTATCAAATGTCATACCTTACAAGATGAGATGGAAAAAATATTTGCTTAGATCATGGGCGACGAGAAGGTTTGGGAGAGAACGGGGTCATCGCTCTGGGCGATCGTAAGGCACTCCATTTGCTCAGATCCAGGCGTCTTGCAAGTTTGGACGATGATGTTACTTTGTTCGTGAGCCTCTACTGCATTCATTAATGGTCCTATTTGGGCCTTCATCCTGGATTTCTAATTGGGCTTCATTCCCTGGGCTATTCAATTTGGGCTACATTTTTATATGTCAACAATTACCCTCCAATATGGCAGAATTAATATCGATTATTAATCTTTGCCATATTCTTCCTCTATATCTTTTCGGCAATATTTGAAATTCTCAAGAATTTCAATAATTATTTTCGTTTGGTGATAACCCTTCTATAACCTGAAAAGGTGTAACGTTACAAACCCCTATAAATCCAAAACACACGCCACTTCATCGCGCCATTACCTTCACGTCTTTGCATCGTGTGTTCTATAAAGGTCAATGTTCATTGTCTTGTTTCCTCACTACGCTTCTCAAGAAACCTTTACAGCATCTGTACTTTGCATCAAATGGCGACTTCACAAACTCATTACCTCTTTCTTTGTGATCGATAGAAGAATGGTGCCAACATGCTCTGAATTGTAGCTTATAGAGCATCTTGTATTTTGTATCTCATAATTTGTAATGAGTATTTGATAATAAAGGAATTCATTTGAACGTACTTCGTTCTTCTATAAGAATTCATGTTGTATATTTTACATAGATTGATTTACTTGCTTGTCTTAAGTATACACACCCCTTTTTTGCTCTACCTATAGAGACAACATATCAAAATTAACGCTGAATGCTTTGCAGTACTGCTGGGAATAAAATGGCCCTTTGAGGTAGAGGATAAATTTGTGAAAATTACATGAACTAAGTATTTTCAAGATCTCAATTCATAATTAAGAGGTACTAATTTTTCTTTCAAAAATCAAATATAATTAAAATTCTAAATATTCATAATAATATTACAAAAATTGTTTTGCATATCCACCCCCTACCAACTACCTTCTTGAATCCTAATTATTCCCAATCTCCTATTTCTCTCTAATAAGTCGACTCTCCCTTATTTACGTCTTCTCTCACATGTGCCTTCACGGCGCACCTACAAACCCGATGATGGTAACGTAGCATCCTACAACCAAGGCACTTAGCACGCGACATCGGTATCGTAGCATGCCACGTGAGGTGTAGTGTTGCGCGACATTTGTGCAACATACCACCATTGTGTGCGATGCTGCACGGCAGCCACGTAGAGCCACTTCGCCTTGCCTCGCAAAGCTGCCGCTGCAGCACCGTGCAGCAGAGGTGCTTGTTGAGCAGCGTCGTACTGCAGCGCCTCTTTATGCACTATCACAACGCCCATGTTTCATCTATTTTC